TTGTTTCAATTTTAATTTTTATAATTCAATTTATAGATAATATATCAGAAGCCATACACCATAGGTATTCCATTATTGCATGTGCCTTATCAAATGGTTGCTAGTTATAGGCTATGACTGATAATAACATGCTCATGTATATAAACTACCTTAGGGTGCTTTACTGCCTTTTTTGAGGGCTGTAAATTTCACAAATTTGCCTAAAAATCTATTTTACGGATTTAATTTTCTCAAATTTATGCCGTCTGCCATCTTGTACCATAACAATTTCATTTTCGTCGAAGTAATTTTCGTGAATCTTCAAAAAATTGCAAAATCTGTGAAATTTACAGCCCTCAAAAAAGGCTCCCTATTGTAGTAATTTTATGGGGGAATTATTGAATGTACATGTAATAAGCACACAAGTCTTCTTAAAACAATTAGTAGTTATAATTGTAGCTTAGATGGGGTTACAATCAAAGTACAGAAAATGCATTATTATTTCTTAGAGCCTGTGATACACGTAGCCGATAAATTGAAATGTTTTCTCGGGAAATCTTTCTTGGTAAAGAAGTAAGGGCTAGCCATCTAAAATAATCATATTGTATTTTCTCACAAAACCCAATAAAAAATATAATAAATGCTTATATGCTTATTTCGGCACCTATGCCATGCCCCCTTTGCACATGTGGTTACTGGAACTTTTTATGGGCAACATAACAGTTGTAGCTGAGAAGGAAGTCTATATAGAAGAAGGCTCAACTCCCAAGAATTGCTGGTTATAAATGCCTATTATATAAACAAATAACAAACATCTACTTCATTTAAATAAGGAGATCAAAAATGGATCTCTATAAAAAATAAATGCCTATAGGTGTTTTGAAAATACAGCAATGTATTGTATTTGCATATTAAAATATTTTATTTAATTTTTTGTTATACAAACTGTATATGTAGCAATAATTACTCACATGAGTTGTAATATTTTGATCAGGGGGCTCTTGAGATAATAATTGTACAATGTTATCATATCCTTTGCTTGCTGCTACAGCTAGAGCAGTTTCTCTTGACTATAAAAATATGGCAATAAAAAATTATATACATGTATGACCTTTGAATAGAACTCTAAAATTGATGCCTTAAAATTAGGATTAATGCTAGCTCTCAAATGCTTATGCATGCCTGATGCTATCACACAACAGAGCACATAAAACCTACCTTACATACTCAATTAAAAAGCTGGTTTTATATGAGTGATACACAGTTGATTCTTGTGCACCACATTGCTAGTATACTCAAATTACTCAATTCTGCTTATTTTCATACCCTTAATTATGTTGATCAGAGGTTAGGTTGAAATGATTTTAAAGACTTTATTTGTGTAACACAGCTGGGAGACTTTTGAAACAATTTTTTAAAATTAGCAATTTTAACCTGGCCTTCAAAGTTATGTAATTAAATACAGGTACATGTACATTGTATACATAGTATACTCACAAAAATATTTTGAGTACTTCTGTTAGCTCCATTCTTTAATAGCAGCTGTACAATATCATAATGTCCTTCCTCTGCTGCTACAATAAGAGCATTATTTCCATACTATAATAACAAGATTATGACAGATTAGTTTCCTCCCAAAAAAATAAAATTATAATTCTGATTGACAATTTTAGTGAAAATGAATGTCAATACATGTATGTACATGTACAACTACATGTACAAGGCTGGGTACTTGAGTACAGCTATTTGCATAGACCTTACAAGCTGGCAGACTGCAGTTGTACATGTAGGTGGGCTGTTTGTTTAATGTGACCACACAATACAAGACACACTTAAATTAGACAGTCACCTTTCAAGTTCATAGATTGATTCATGAATTGGTTTGCAAGGTCCATGCAATTTGCTGTGATAGCACAGAACATCCACCAAGGACTTGAGTGCTTGTGTTTACATGTACATGTATATAAGGCAAGAAGTACTTGAATGTGCTTTATACTCATTAAACATATAATAAGCAGTATATCATAAAGCGAAAAATTTTTTAGGGCTATAAAATTTGCAAAATGAATTTTGCAGATTTAATTTAAAAATTTATGTCACCTTGTACTGTAATAATTTGATTTTCGCAAAATCAATTTTCCCAAATCTTAAAAAAATTGTGAAATCCATGAAATTTACAGCCTTTGAATACAGTAGTTCTTGGCTTATAATTATACACCGCACATGTACATGCAGGTAGTACTACTCTAGTACTTCTGAGGAAACTAATACATA